TAATATCGAAATCCACCATACTGAGTAATAATAAATCAGCTCTGGTCTCAAAACCACTGATAATAATCAAACACGATCGATACACAATGTCAACGATAATAGAATCACCCACGGGTGTAGATACATAAACAGAAGAACTCAAAGAATCACGGGATACGCCCAAATACGAGGCAAAATAAGATGACACATAAGAATAAGTGGAGCCTGGATCAAATAAGACCGATGCATCTCTATGACAGACAGGAACAATACCTGTGATAACAGAATCAGATGTAACTGCCTCCGTCCTAGCAGGAAGGGCATAATATCTGGCCTGGACTCCCCCTCTAGGGCGACCTCTACCTGTCCGTCCTCCACCTCTAGATGGTTGTGCAGGTGGAGTGGTAACTGGAGCAGTAATCACGGCCTCAGAAGCTTAAGGGCCCTGTAGAATAGGTGGGGCCTGCAAAATCTGTGGAGGTGCACCCCTCCTGAATCTGGGGCAATCCCTAACCATATGATGAGTGTCACCGCACTCAAAACAAGCTCTCGGAGGACGTGACTGTTGTGACTGGCTCGGGCCTGATCGACTGGATTGACCACTGAAAGCACTCCGTACAGGAGGTACACTAGATATTGGCGGTGCATAATAGGGATCCTGGGGCCTAGGAATGGCCGGAGTACCGCTGGCAGATGGAAGTGCTAAATGAATAGGACGAATCCCATAACCCCTACCCTGACGAGCTGTAGATGAGGCACTAAAACTGTTATACATGCCAGAATCTCGGGGTCTCTTAGCTTTCCTCTCTTCTCTCTCCCGAATATGCATACCCTCCAATCTCCTAGCAATAGATACCACCTACTGGTATGCGATGTCCATCTCTAATTCTCAGGCCATACTGAATCTGATACTACGGTGGATCCCCTTAATAAATCGGCAAACCCGCTCTCGAACAGTAGCAACCAAGGCTGGTGCATGCCTAGCCAAATCACTGAATCGGACCGCATACTCTGACACGGTCATAGAACCCTAGCGCAGCTGCTCAAACTCTGCGCGCCATGCATCTCTAAGATTCTGAGGAACATACTCCCTCAAGAACATATCTGAAAATTGAGTCCAAATGAGTGAAACTGCCTCAGCCGGACTATCCAACTCGTATGACCGTCACCACTGGTAGGCCACTCCTCTAAGATGGAATGTCGTGAAAGAAACCCCACTGGAATCCACAATACCCATAGTACGGAGGATACGATGACATTCTTCAAGAAAACTCTGAGCATCCTCTGAAGCTAAACCGCTCGAAGTGGGAGAGTGGTACTTCTTGTACCTCTCGAACCTAGGTTTCTCCTCCTCTGAAACTACTGCCCTAACCTCGGGCCGAACTGGGACAACTGACTGTACTGGTATAACCTCTGGGGCATGGTCAGCCTAGGCCCATGGCTTTGGGGTACGGGTGGCTGGAGTCGGTGCTCCTCCCCCGGCCTGAGATGTGGCAGGAGCAAGTGCAATCAACCTTGCCTGAGCTAGAGTGCCAAACATGCTCAGAAATTGGGCAAGGGTCTCCTGAAGTGCAAGGGTAGTAACAGGCGTCTCAGGTGCCTGCTCTCTAATTGAAGCTACTGGTGGCTCTGCTGCAGCAGCTCGTGCAGGTGCTCTGGCTGCACCACATGGTCTTCCTCGGCCTCTGTCCCGGCCTCTTACGGCTCCAATAGGGGGTATGGGTGTCTGATCATCGGATCCAGTTGTGCGTGTCCTCGCCATCTATCAGAGAATAGAAAGACAAGAGTTTAGAACTTCGAAGTCAACAATGCGCACGATAAGGAATCAAAGAAGTGAACACTTTCCTAACAGTTCCATAGCCTCCCGAAGATAAGTACAGATGTCTCTGTACCGATCCGCGAGACTCTACTAAACCTGCATGTGACTCATAACACCAATAAACCTAGAGATCTAATATCAACTTGTCACTACCCCAATTCACCCTCCGTAGGATGTTTTGATGTCACCTAGTCTCTAAGACTAGGTAAGCCTAACAAATTGCGGAATAACATAATAAAAGTCTGAAACTCAAACCTCAATAGCTGTAATAAATGGAAACTACAAGTCAAAGAACTAAAATCTCCCAAAACCCGGTAGAAACAAGTCACAATCTTCTAAGAGAAATATTAATTGTCTCTATACATTAGAGTCTGCTAAAGTAAGGAAAACAACATGATAAATATAGAGGGGGACTCCGAGGTCTCCAGACGCTGGCAGATGTACCTTGAAGTCTCCGCACACAAGTAGCTCACTGATATCCGGGCTGGTAAGCAGTGCATGGTTCTGCACAATAAGATGTACAGAAGAGTAGCATGGGTACACCACAGCGGTACCCAGTAAGTGCCAAGTCTAACCTCGGTAGAGTAGTGACGAGGTCAGGTCAGGACCTACTAGAAATAATAGAAAATTATGACAGAGGATATAATAGTATAATGAAATGACTGAAGAGAGAACAACACAGCAAAAAGAGGTAAAAAAATAGGGGCGCTCCCGAGATACCGTTTCGTAGTCCCAAAAGTAAATGCTCAACAGGGGATCTCCCGAGATACCGTCTCGTAGTCCCAAAAGTAAATGCTCAACAGGGGATCTCCCGAGATACCGTCTCGTAGTCCCAAAAGTAAATATGTAAGGGGATCTCCCAAGGTACCGCCTCGTAGTCCAAAAAGTAAATATGTAGTACAGGAGGATCTCCCGAGGAACCGCCTCGTAGTCCCAAAATAATTATACAGTACAAGGGGATCTCCCAAGGAACCGCCTCGTAGTCCCAAAAGTAAATATGCAGTAGGTAGTCGGAGGAACAATAAATTTTAAGCAAGAAATCTTATAGTTAAAGATTTAAATCAGATCAGAGAAGCAGGTAATTCAGCTAAGCATGTTGCACATATTGCAAGTAAGAGTTAAGGCACTTAGACATGTGATACTAAGCTAAACATGATCACTACATATACTAAAGCAACTTAATTAAAGAATTTAAAAGAACACTACTCAGCAATAACCGATATTTTCAAATTTAGCCCGTGTACGCACTCGTCACCTCGCGCACACGGCGCTCACATATCACAAAATGTTGCAACAGTATCAAATCCTAAGGAAATTTCACCCACACAGGGTTAGACAGGCCACTTACCTCGAATTTCGCTCAATCAGTCAAGTAGTATGCCTTTCCCTCGATTTTCCGACTCCGATCGGCTCGAATCTAGTCATGATTAATTCGATTCAGTCAATACAAATCATAGGAATTAATTTCATATGAAAATACAGATTTTTCAATAAAATTCCGAAATTTAACTCAAAAATCGCCTGTGTGGCCCACGTCTCGGAACACGACAAAAGTTACAAAATATGAATGCACATTCAACCACGAGTCCAACCATATGAATTTTACCAAATTCCGACATCAACTCGACCTCCAAATCTCAAATTCTTATTTTGAAATTCCTAGGCCCAAATCATCTAATTTCACCTTAACAATATGTAATCTAGTCAAAATACTCAATGATAATCCAATATTATTGACTAACAATGATCAAAAATGACTTACCTCAAGTTTTTTCGTGAATTCTCTATGAAAATCGCCTGAAAACCGTGTTTGAAATGTCCAAAAATGACAAAAAACCCGGAACCCTCTGTCTTTGTACATTGCCCAGAGGTTCCGCTTCTGCGGAATTTTTACCCACATCAGTGGTTCCGCTTTTGCGGTAAATCTCCCGCTTCTGCAACAGGTCCGCTTCTATGCGGACTCGCTTCTGCGATGAAGCATCCGCTTCTACGGTCCAAGGTCCCCTTAGCCCAGGCCGTATTTGCGACCATTGCGTCGCTTCTGCGGTCACACTTCTGTGACGCCTCATCCACTTCTGCGGACCATCCACTTCTGCGAGCTCGCACCTGCGAGCTCGCACCTGCGAGCCAAATTCCGCAGGTGCGATTGCATCAGTAGGCAGAAGCAAGTTTCAACTGTTCTATGTCCAAATTTGATCCGTTAACCATCCGAAACTCACCCGAGGCCCCCGGGACCTCAACGAAATATACCAACAAGTCCTAAAACATCATATGAACTTAGTCGAAGTTTCAAATCACATCAAACAACGCTAAAACCACGAATCATACCCCATTTCAAGCTTAATGAACTTAAGAATTTTCAACTTCTACATTTGATGTCGAAACCTATCAAATCAAGTCCGCTTGACCTCAAATTTTGCACACACGTCATAAATGATATAACAGACCTATTCAAATTTTCAGAATCGGATTCTGACCCTGATATCAAAAAGTCAACTCCCCGGTCAAACTTCTAAACTCAAATTTCTATTTTTAGCCATTTCAAGCTTAATTTAACTACGGACCTCCAAATAATTTTTCGGACACACTCTTAAATCCAAATCACCATACGAAGCTATTAGAATCATCAAAATTCTATTCCAGGGTCGTTTACACATAGGTCGACATATAGCCAACTTTTTTAACTTAAGTTTTAAACTTTGGAACTAAGTGTTCCAATTCATTCCAAGACCTCACCGGACCCGAACCAATACCTCGGTAAGTCATATAGCAACTGTAAAACACAAATTGAGCAGTAACTGGGAAAACGGAGTTGTAATACTCGATACGACCGGTCGGGTCGTTACATGGGGAGAGGACCAATTTATAGAGGTTCTCACTTAATCCGGTACGTACATCAAGTAACCGATCACACAGACGAGATTTGTCATTAATTAAATAGTATTAATTATGGGCCTTAACTTTGTTGGGTCACAAAATAATTAGATAAAATCTAACACTCTCTACCAAAGTCCGTACTATTTTCACATCTTTGAAAAAGACACAGCAGTTTAAAAAATGCATTAATCTGCACCATTACCAGCTGCAGATACATGAAGCAGCCAAAACGAAAGTCACAAAATTAAATGCTTTAGCACATGTTACAAGCTGACGGGACTTCAAACTATAAACATAAAAAGATTTAGGATGACCAAAAGATGGTTTAATGATTTGGAATTGGTATAGCAAATTCCAGAAGCTCTGGATCTCTTTCAAATATAGCCATGTCTTGTTCGCCCAGCATGACTATGGCTTCGATTCCGCCTCCACTTTGATTATCCATTAGAAAAAAATACTTATTGAAAGGACCAGTTGCCATGCTCACTCTAGCTGGCCGTCCCCATCCAAAGTCCATGTTATAAAAAGGAAATACTAGGACACTGGAACAAACATAATAATCAACTTCACTGCTATGGAATGGCGTCCTTCCTTTTTCAAGTGAATCAACTACTTCTGAGATAATTGTATTTTTCGTAGCATTCTTTTGCTGGTCATGAAGTTTCTCTTTCTCCTTCCTCATTTCTCGTATCAATCTTGGACAATTTAGTTCCCTTTCATTAGTTGTTTTCACTAAAAAGCCAGAGATTACATTTCCACATGCATCGTAAGACAAAGGTGGGTTGAGCCTTTGACGCATATTTGCAACTTGAAACAAGGTAGATGGTTTAAATGAGCCAACATTATTCGCTCTTCTTGCAGCTACAGCACATTTGTAAAGAAGCGCGCTCACAACTTCAGTTCGGGTTGGATTTTGGACTCCTGATTCAAGAGAAATATTTGCTTTGAGAGCGTTTACTTTAGTAGCAGGGAAAATAAGCCTTTTCCCTAGATATCCAGTTGGTTCTTCGTACTTGATACTTGATACATCAGAAGGATCATTACATTGGGGATAGATGGATTCTCCAACAAAGCGAGGAGATGGTGTTGCACTTATATCACGGCTCAAAACTCCCCAGTTGTACAGGAAATTGCTGGCGGTGTAGCCGTCTCCAATCTTGTGTGATAAGCACGCACCAATTGCTAATCCTCCGCAATCAAAATGGCTTACCTGAGCTATAGCTAAATTTCCTTTACTGTGGTCGTGAGGTTTAGCTTGTGGAAAAACTACATGTTCTGCTTCAGTGTAAGGGTGTTTGAAAATTTCGGACATGGAACAATGGACACGAACGTTGGAAAGCTCAACTCCCGTGTCGTTGCAATCAACAGAGGAATCATTCTTTAGTCGTCCAGCATAAGGATAATAGAATGAAAGTGTTTTAGAAAGAGATTTCTCAAGAAGTTGAGATACTAGGGTAGGTTCATATGACTTGTACGCAGCATAATTGCCAACTTTTGGGTAAAAAAATGCAATAGGAATAGATATATGAAGAACCTGATCAACGAAGGAAAGTTTGTGAGATTTAAGAGAAAGAGGAGTTGGAATGGATGGTTTGATTATCTTCTTAGAAATCAAAGAAACAACTGATAATGCCACCATTATGCTTTCAGGCCTTTAGCAACTGTACCACACACTTTCTTTTCTCGTTTGGCTAACAGTGCTATCATTTAGAGCATCTTCTATATAGTAATACTAGGTGAAAGTGGGTCCAAGTTGAAGTGGAGAAATTGACATAAATTAAGTTATGTTAATTAGTATTTTGACTTTATTTTCTATAAGTATATGCATGATTAAGAAATTTAATTTTTAATTTGTCTACCATCATTAGAGAACTCGTAGTAATGTAAGCCAACACGTTTGTAATAGCGGAGTTATGGAATATATGCAGAGAAGGAGCTAGAATTTAAACCTCTAAATTTTGAATTCTAGAATAGCAACATTAGGTGTTACTAATTGAGTTTTGGAGTTAATTTTTGTATATATTTAATTAATAAATTTCTTAATATAAACAGAGAGCTTGAACTAAAGTTACGCCAAACTCATAGCTAACCTTCTAGCTCACCCTCGCTTGTTGGAATTTCTAATAGTACATATTAGTGCAAACGTGATGTTGTATACTGTGAGTGACAAATATGAATGGTTAGTTAGAGATAAAAACTTATACACCTAGCAAATGAATTGTCCAACATATAAGTTATTTATCAGTTAATTATGATTTGGTGATATGAATCTATGCACAACATCATCGAAGTACAACATTCAAAAAATAAACAAAACACAAAGTACCCGAAACACCCCCACGTGTCGACTTGCAGGATGACCGACATGGATCAGGATCCGATTGGAATGTGAATTACTCCTAGAGCATTTAAGTACAATAATTTCACAGTGCATAAATTATTGAAACTATACCCTCAGTTGTCTTAATTTTGAGCTTATAGTATACCTAGCAGAATATTACTAGAAGAAGAAGCACATATGGGGTACAGCCAAAATCAACATGTACCAATTTTACTTGGCTAGAAATGATTCTTTTAGTAATAATGATCTAACTACCTCTCAACTTTGGGCTTATAGTATACCTAGCAGAATATTACTAGAAGAAGAGGCACGTGTGGGGTACAGTCAAAATCAACATGTGCCAATTTTACTTGGTTAGAAATGATTCTTTTAGTAATAATGATTTAACTGTCTCTATTCCTTTGATGTAGAAATATAAATTGGCAAATACATAGGCAGACCCTAAACTTGTCCTTGTCCTGTTATTTTATTTAAATATTTAAATTCAAATTAGTATTTATTGAACACCTAAACTTTATTAAAATTATCAATTAGACACATTTTGTTAACATGGCAAAGTAAGTATTTTTCACTCTCTTTGTGTACATATTTGAAAATTAATTACTTAATATTTTTTTTTTCTTTCTCTTTCTCTTCTTTCATTATTATTTTTCATAAAGTCGTTGCCACCTTGCCAGAAATTTTGTTGACCGACTGCAAGTTCCATTGATGGCTTCAATCTACACCAGAACACTCCCAAAAATCTCAAATTTATTTTTCCAATCTCCGCCATGGTTGTTTATGGGGTGAAAGTATCGAGATTACAGCATAAACAATTTTATCATTACTCAGTTTTAGCGACCATATATTGTACCTAGCTTTCGGCCTTCACTCCGGTCATATCCAAGTAACTACTCACTATTCACTATTTCCATAAGAGCAGACCAAAAAGATTACTGGAGAACTATGCCAAAGTGGTGCGCCAGCTGAAGTCATGGAGGGAACTCATCGGGAAGTGGTGATGGTCGCCGGAGCATAGTCGGGAATCGGCCGAGAATTCTTCCACGATTTATCTAAAGCTGGTTGTAGAATCATCGATGTCGTTCGCCGTGTAGATCGATTGATATCTCTCTACCATGAGATCAACGGAGTTTGGCCAAACTCAAACAGGGCAAGTTCGAGTTAGGAACAATGAGCTGTAGCGAGTGGCGTATATAGATTGTTATATTAGCGATATCATAATTTGAAGAGATTGGACAAATGAATAAATCAATATAATGACAAGTGGTGTTATTTTGTATACATATTCCCAATATTTTTATTTTTCTTATTTGAGTTCTATCTTCATGTGTCGGCCATGCAGCTATTAGAACTCCCATTGAAATGCTTTAGTGAAAGAATTCCACCACAATGACTTATAAATCTGTCAATAATGATTTATAGATTCACCAATTAATTGATGTGCCAAGATTTTCAATTGGCGTGCCTAATATTGTTTTAAAAAAAATCTTAATTCTCTCTATATACTTTTTTGGCAACTCAAAGTTGCTTCTTTTTATTTTATTTTATGTTATTCCCATTGTTGCTCTCAAATGCACACAAGTATACGTGGTCAACAAGTAATATAATAATGAATAAAGTGTCGAACCCATAAAGACTTGTGTTTGACTACCTACTAATTTCACTCAACTTGTTATTCAATCAAGTCAATCAAGGTTGAATTGTATGATTTATAAGTACTCAGTAAAGGTAACTGTTACCTAATTTAGCAAGCAAAAAATGATTGTTCGAGAATTTAATAGAGATAAATATTCCATGGTTCTGATCGATTCACCAATCGTGTTGTGTTCTAGATAACTCCCCTTTTCATGCAATTCGCTTATGATTGTTAATTAATCGAGCAAAAGTATACTCGTAGTATTCTTCCGAATTACTACTCGTCTGTCCAAGATAGATTCATGCTTATATTCCTATGAAATCAATCCATCAAGAACGCATTAAGATCACGATATTTAATTAAGCATGATGATTAGGTATATTCATATTCTAGCCACAAATCCTCCCCCACTTTAGAGTTAAGATCATGCCCTCTTTAATTCTTCTCTTATCTAAACATAGTTTTCCCAAGCATAAGATAGTTGTTAAGTATAAGAAATTGCCGGCGGTGCAGCCGTCTCCAATCTTGTGTGATAAGCATGCACCAAGTGCTATTCCTCCGCAATCAAAATGGCTTACCGGAGCTATAACTAAATTTCCTTTACTGTGGTCGTGAGGTTTAATTAGCTTGTAGAAATACTACTGAGTTTCGGCCAAAGTCATAACTAATCTTCTAGCTCGACCTCGCGTGTATTGAATTTCTATTCCAAAGTACATATTAGTGCAAACGTGATGTTGTACACTGTGAGTGACAAATATGAATGGTTAGCTGAAGGTAAGAATTTATACAAACCCGATGTTTATATCAAGCAAATGAACACATGGCATTTGTCCAACATATAAGTTATTTATCATTTAACTATGATTTGGTGATATGAATCTATACTTTCATTTGTGACTCTCAGTGTTAAACTATATGATTATTTAATGTAAATATCGAGTGCGAGTAATTATTTATCGTTACTTAAATAGAAAGAAACCAAATAGAGTTAAAAGTAAAATGGCCAAGTAGTAATCTGGTTTCTGTTCCTAGGAACGGCGAAATCCTATAAAGTCATACGAAGACGGCAAACGTTGAAAAACCTGCAAAGTGAAGCTAAATTAAAATGGACCTAAGACGTTAAAAAATTTATCACACGCGCGTCTAAGGAATACGAAAGGATTTTAAAGAAATGCTTCTGGTTTTTTCGTCCAGTTGGGGGAGGGTACATGCACAACATCATCCAAGTACAATATCCAAACACAAACAACACACAAAGTACCTGAAACACCGCCGCGTATCGATAGGCAGGACAACAGACATGCATCAGGATACGATTGGAAATTTGACTGTTTTAGTTCACTCCTAGAGCATTTGAGTACAATAAGTCACGGCGTATAAATTATTGAATCTATACCCTAAGTTGTCGGCAAATAAGCCCTCAACTTGGTATATATAGCAGAATTTTACGTCCAAGATTATGTTAGGATCGAAAATAATCAGGTGTCATGTGAAAACTAGTAAGCAAACCTTGAACGACGATAAAGCAGGACAACACCAAACAGATTATTCTTCCTTCTATTGGATGTGGTAAGTTGTCTTTTCATGCGCCCTCCACTTATTTGAGTTCTATCTTCAAGAGTTGTTCCCGGACCACCCATCTCTTCCTTCCCCTTCGCCCGGCCCGGTGAGATCAGATTTCTAGAACGAAGTGAAGTGATAGGAAGAGAAGACTGCTGGCGGGAAATCCCTATTCATGAAAGTTCCTTGTAAAGGGAAAAATGAAAGTGTACTCCTGCGCACCAACCGAAGAAAGGAGCTTTGGAAGCTTACCTTATTATTATATTAAAAGGGGAAAAGGTGGGGAGTATGGCATTGGTTACTTCAGCGTCGTAACGCCTGGTATTCGAACATTGGCTCGAGGCATTGTCTCTACCCCTTCTTATCCTGAAAAAGCAGGGACACCTTACGTTCTTGAACCGATAACCATCTTTCGGCTAACCTAGCCTCCTCCGTCCCTCGGGACCAACAAGGGGCAGTACAGGAATATTCACCTGTTGTCCATCGACTACGCCTTTCGTGAAAGAATTTCACCCACAATGACTTATAAATCCCGGCAGTAATAATTCATAAATTCACCAATTAATTGACGTGCCAAGATTTCCATTTGAGGTGCCCAATCTTCTGTTTACATCCCTTTTCTTTTATTCTCTCTTCATACTTTTTTGGCAACTCAAAGTTGCTTCTTTTTATCTTATTTTATGTTATCCCCGTCTTTTTTATCTGTTTCTCTTTGAAGATAAAATTTTTGCCCACATTGAACCAAACCAAGTGCTAGCTCACTGATTTCTTTTCATTTGATAGTGTAGTTGTGGACCCGAATGTAACATAAATAACTGAATTCACATTTATCAAGCCATTTAAAGCGGTCATGTCTTTTATCCTAGCAATGATCTTGTGAAGGCCTTTTGTTACACACAAAGCTCATGCCCATATTATAGCTTTGCGCTGAGCCCAACTATTCGTACCCATTACCCGCATATATGGGAGAATGATAAAAATAAGATTCATTTGATGTCATTGTTTAAATTTTGACCCCGGTAAGAAAAGTCTTAAAAAAATAATTTCTGATCAGAATTTTGAAGCAAGTTGGTCAAAAATTCTTGCACAAGTCATATGGTGA